CACAGGGAATTCACTGCCACAGGAGGTGGTGGTGGCTACAAGCATGGACGGCGTCTTCTTCTTCTTCTTCCTCCTCCTCCTCCTGAGAGCCAGTTTGGTGTAGTGGTTAAGAGCAGAGGACTCTAACCTGGGAGAACTGGGGTTTGATTCCCCATGCCTCCTCCACATGCAGCTGCTGGTGTGACTTTGACTCAGTCACAAGTTCTCTCAGAGCTGTTCTCTCATGAGCATTTCTCGAAAGAGCTCTCTCGGCCCCGCCTACCTCACAGGGTCTCTGTTGTGGGGAGGGGAAGGGAAAGGAGATTGTGAGCCGCTCCGAGACTCCTTTGAGTAGTGAAGGGCGGGGTATAAATCCAATCTCTTCTTTTCGTCTCATCAGAACATGGTGCCAGGGCTCTTTTTGTAGCAGTAGCCCCTGTAAGAATAGCTCTGTAAGCTCTCAGAGGATTGGCTACATTAGGGGCGTGTCACCTAATATGCAAAGGAGCTCCTGCTGCAAAAAGAGCCCTGGGCGACACACCCCTAATGTAGCCAATCCTCCAAGAGCTTACAGAGCTCTTCTCACAGGGGCTACTGTAAGCTCTTGGAGGATTGGCTACATTAGGGGGTGTGTTGCCCAATATGCAAAGGAGCTCCTGCTACAAAAAGAGCCCTGATTGCAGCCTGAGACCAGCCACCTGGGATTGGCTGCCGGGTCATGCTCAAAAGGTGGGATCCTGAAGGCTTTTGACAGCTCTGTATGGCTCTTGTGCTTTTTAACAGCTACAAGAGAGGCAGGAGAAAAGAGCCAGAGTACAGCAGCGTCTTAAAAGACACAAAAAAATTGTGGAAGGGTATGAGCTTTCATGAGTCACTCCTTCAGAGAGTACCAAAAACAATCACTGTGATATATATGCTTGTATATATCTGCGGTGGCTCAAGTGGTTAAGATGCTGAACTGCAGGCTGTGGAAGGTCGGTAGTTCAGCAGTTCGAGACCCGAGTGTGCCGCATGACGGGGTGAGCTCCAGTCTCTAGTTCCAGCTCCTGCCAACCTAGCAGTTCAAAAGCAAGAAATTGCAAGTAGATGAATAGGTACCACTTCGGTGGGAAGGGAACAGCGTTCTGTGCACCTTGGTGTTTAGTCATGCCGGCCACATGACCACGGAAATGTCTTCGGACAGCACTGGCTCTTCGGCTTTGAAACGGAGATGAGCACCGCAACCGTAGAGTCGGATTCGACTGGCTTTCGAGCAAGGGAACCTATATCTGATAAATTTACTGATTTCATTGACATGAAGAGATAACAATAACAACCATTAAAATAATCTCAATGAGCAACTAGTTATAAACCCGTTTCGCGTGACAACTTCTTCAGAAGTTTTTTCATTCTTCATTGATTGTCGTTATTGATTGCCTTATTGGACAATCCTAATGCAATAACAATCTTGGTTTATGTAATGTTATCGGGATTTCAAGCCGCTGCTTGTCGTTTAAGAATTATTAGTTGCTAGTATCTTTAAGAGCCATTACCAGCTATGATTAGAGTAGAAGTCATTGCACCTGTTTAAGCAAACTTTTAAGACTGGCTTGCTCCTTATAAAATGTGTAGTGATGTTTTGCAACAAATGGTATTTTATATAATGAAATACGCGTTCCCTAATAATAGATATATTCCATTCAGCTACGTAATGTTCCTAGTTTTTTGAGGTGCAGCAAGAGGAAGATAACTTCTAAGCAACAAGAGGAAGACGATCAATGAAGAATGAAAAACTTCTGAAGACGTTGTCACACAAAACGGGTTTCCAACTAGTTGCTCGTTAAGATTATTTTAATGGTCGTTGCTGTTATCTCTTCATGTCAATGAAATGTGTAAATTTATCAGATATAAAGTATAGCAGCCTAAATATCACAGTGACTGTTTTTTGTACTTACTGTCTTATTTACACTGTCGTTTTCCACTTTGGGGAGGCAGAAATTTAGGAGTCACAGCCAATGTTCCGTCTAAGCTGTGGAGTCTTGTGAGCAAAAATTCTACTTTGTGAGCTACTGGCATTACAGTTGTGAGCAAGTGATCTGGCTACTGCATAAATTAGTTGGCTCTTGGGCCATCCTTCCTGAGCAGAGACAAAAATGTGTGAGCCAGAGGCTAAAAAACTGTGAGCTAGCTCACAGTCACTCAGCTTAGAGGGAACACTGGTCACTGGTTTTCCGGCCATTAATTTGCAATATTCCCCAGTTGCTACAGGCACAAGGGCAGTTGCCAGGAATTAAGGTGCCATCCTGCGAGGAAGTTTCAGAGTACAGCTGTGTTGGTCTGCAGTACAAGCGTCAGATTCGAGTCCAATGGCACCTTAGAGACGCACGAGAGTTTCAGGGCATGAGTTTTCGATAGTCAAAGCTCCCTTCGTTGGATACAAGTTGGAATGCAGAGCTCTGGGATATATTTATTTATTATTTGTCTGTTAAACTTTTCTCCCGGCCGAGGCCGGCTCACAACAGATAAAATTCCATAACTACATATGGATAATAAATACAACTTTAAAATACTATATTAAAACCAAATGTAATAATAAAGTGCTAGTCTTCTGCGTGGGTATCGCTGGTCTGCTTCACATGCTGTGAGGTCCTTCAGATGTCGGAAAGGGAGGGTGGAGTCGGCTCGGGCAGTTATTAGGGGTCCAGCGGGTCAGGGCTCTCCGCCAAACGATGTCAGTTGGCTTTTTCGGTGGCGGCTCCTCTCTGGTGGAATGAGCTCCCAGAGGAGATCAGGGCCCTGCGGGACCGTCTACAGTTCTGCAGGGCCTGCAAAACGGAGCTCTTCCACCAGGCCTTTGGAGCTGCCAACACTGTTATTACCACCAGGAATGCCAACTGACACCCAGGGAAATGCTGATCGCCACTTTAGCATGAAATGGTTTCATATCCTCTGGATGGTCGCAACTGCAGCAGTGGCTACGAGGCTTACCTGTTACTTTCATCATTTGCCATCTCCCTCTGATCCTTGGTGGAGACTTATTTTTATCTATTTTTGTTTTTTACTCTCTCTGTAAACCCTTTCCCCCCATACACCCTTAACATATACATACCTCACAAGGCTCATTTGCGGAACTTATCTTTTGGTTTACACCTAACCTTGTATCTGGATTGTCAGTCCTGTTCAACAAAGTCTTATAAATACCACTACTCTTAAGGCCAGTTAACTCATGTTTAAAACCTGCTAGAAACACAGCTTCCCTTGTTTTAATTTTTATTTGATCTTGATACTTGAGAGCCAGTTTGGTGTCGTGGTTAAGTGCGCGGACTCTAATCTGGGAGAACCGGGTTTGATTCCCCACTCCTCCACTTGCACCTGGCTGGATGACCTTGGGCAAGCTGTAGTTCTAGAAAG